GGGTCTCTTTAGCTTAAAGAAGAGGAGACTTGAGGGGTGAAATTTGTAAAGAGCGAGTGTCAGGAGGAAGGAGCCAGGCTCTTCTCTCTGATGTCCAATGACAGGACATGGGGAAATGGGTACAAGCTGGAGCATAGGAAGTTCCATGTGAACATAAGAAAAAACATTTTCATTATGAGGGTGCCAGAGCATGGCCCAGGCTGCCCAGAGAGGCTGTGGAGTTTCATTCTCTGCAGACATTCAAAACCCGCCTGGACGTGTTCCTGTGTGACCTGGTCTGGGTGATCGTGCTCTGGCAGGGGTTGGACTGGATGAGCTTTCAAGGTCCCTTCCAACTCCTAACATTCTGTGATTCTGTGATGTAAACAAATGGGTTTTTGTTGGTATCCTTTCCCATACTTCCAATTGTTGAATAACAGCTTTTTGCCTTAATAAGGAGTAAGACACCTCATTTAACCCCCTCACTCACTTGGCGTATTTCAAGATGAAGAGTGATGGAAAGTATTAGCCTACAATGTAAGACAATGAGTGCACCGATGCACACACACCAAATACAGGACATCTAAATGGGATAAGTGTATGTAGCTCATTACTCGCTCTTAACTAAAATTAGACACAAAGGGATGGCAAAAGGTTTAGAATGTCTAATCCCCAGCCTCCTCTTTCCACACACACTGTAAGAACTACATTGTTCCCTTTGATAACTCTTATTTTCCCTTAAATTAACTTTCTGAATGGCTTTTGTTAACTGAAGTAATATCTATTCTAGTTTTAGTATCAAAGGATCTTTAGAGCTACACTCTAGGAAACAAGGCATCCAAATCTTCAATTCTTACTTGTTTTAAGAAGGCATTCACAAAATTACTAGGCTTAAAACTTAACATAACCTAAGATGTATGTTCCCTCCCTTGGAAATGCTAATGAATTTTACCAAAGCTAGTTGAACTAATGAGAGCAGGTAAATTCCTTTGAACAATTCAAGCTAGTCCATCAAAAGCCTATAAATCTGTGACTATTTGACCTCACGCCATGCATTCGTACCATCGCTATTCCATGACATACAGTGTCATATGCCCAGAACTATGTGTGCTGAAAGGTAGAATAACAAATAACTTAGCCCACTTACCAGTTTTCATATCAAATGTCCATGCAGGTATAGCATCTCCTGATTTTACAGTACTTGTGGTAAGCGGAAGTATTATCTGAATGGGACCGTTTACTTTTAATTCCTTTCCAGTCAAAAAAACATTTACACATATTGCAGCAAGAGGAGCTAATTCCATGCTTTTGAAACCTGAATGGGAAAAACATCTTATACTGTGAACAGAGAATTACAGATATTTTTCAAAAATGTATTTAGAATTAAGAATCTATCCTCATTATAACTAAAGACAGCTGTCCCTGACTTGGTTAAATCAAAATCAACAACTTTTCTGGACTTTTAAAATCTTTTGATTAAAATAAAAATCAGTCATTTCTCTACCAAATCTATAGAAATTACTTTTGACATATAAGTTCAATGTTGACTAGGCTTGGGTTAGGGGAAGAAGGGTTCTTCCCTCTCAGATAGGTTATCTATTTTGTAATTAAGTTATGTGAGTTACAGACAATGTAAGAATCTTTTTATAACTGCAACATAGATAGTTTTGAATCAAACTGAAGACATATACAAATATTACTGCTGCATTTCTCCTTAGTTGAACAGTCCTCTTAGGAAAGTTAATTCTTACAGGAAATGTTGTTAATTTGGCAGTTATAATTAACTGAATAGTTAATCATTAGGCTTGTCAAAGCACTCAAAGGATATGTTGCAGATATAAAGGTTTACAATGTAGCCCGAAAATTTGTTTCCTTTGTTTTCCTTAGACTAATTTGCAAATAATTCAGAATACACAACATGACAGGATGGTGAAAAAAGCTGAAACAGAATTAGTAAGTACCAGAATTATCTTAAATCTGTGCAAGCTGTTAAAAGCTGATTGTAAGAAAATTCCTGGTGCATCAGATATCAATTAGCTTCCACCTGCCCTAAAAGGAACTCTACTCCTTCTGGAGTATATGAATAATTTAAAACACATGCCAGACAGATTGAAAGGAAAACCCGAAGGGGAGAAACACTACTTATTCTCTTATGCTTTACATCTAAAGAGGTAAAATATAGATAAGAAAAAAGTCTTAAAATATGTAGGTCAAGATATCAATATACATGATGATTTTAATTCAATGAAAATTTGAGAAGAAAGCATGACAGGTTCAAATAAGCCATGTAGCAGCCTCCACATGCACTGCAATGAATTTAAGAGCCTCACAGCTTCAGGTCTACTGGGAACACAAAGAAAAGCACAAAAGATGGAACTGCACACAGTACCAGAGATTACTGTATTTATGCAGATAGAAAAACATCTGACAGAATGACAAATACTTGACAAAAGATCCAGCTGCACATGAGCAGCTATGACTCATGAAACCACTTACCGCTTTTCCAGTGAAACAGATGCACAGAAAACATTGTAACAATTGTATCCTGTATACACAGTAACTATTTTGTTTCAAACAGACTTACACAAATCAACTGCCTGTGAGCCAAACTAGAGCTTCCACACAATCTTTATGCTAGGTGTCAAGAGTCTAGAGCATCCTAGTGCAAATGCAGAAAACCCCACAGCTGAAGTTAAACTGCAGGTTCACTGATTTCTTTGGGTTCACCTAGTTTACACTCTGGCTATAACCATATTTTTAAGGCATTTACTAAATCGGTTCCACAGGCCTATGAAATCCTGAACACACACACACACACACCCACACACCCACCCACCCCATCTATATAAAGCAGACTCTGAAGGAATATTTCAGTATAGTAAGATAGGTTATGTTCTTATACTACAGGGAACAAGATAAAGAGTGACATCAATTACTTACCTGATGTGTTTATAGCTTACTCCTACAGAACAAAGCTGTGTGATTTAAAGCAATGGAATCTGGCTCAGGCCCTTTTAATTAAAGCACATTCTTCTGAAACACTGAACACTCATATACATTATAATTTGAAGATATCTTCATATAAAAATATTACTAAACAACTTTTTTACATACCTGATTTATTTAGAAGAATACCTGTTGTATAGAGAAAGCTGTCCACCTTAAAAAATTGCTCTGGCACTGTCAGGTAGGCTGTAATGTTTGTAATATGCTGATTTGTTGGAAGCTTTATTAAAAATTTTGGGAACTGAACACTTGGTTGAGATTTGGCATCTAAAAAAATAATATTTTGTTTTAGCAGTAGTAACACACAGTGTTTTTATTACTTTCCAGAACTCCATTTAGCACAACAACCTAGTTTCACCCATTTTCTCAACAGTTTGTGTACTTCTAGTCTAGCACTTGTCACAGCAACACATACAGCTAACACAATTAACTGCAAACCTGGCTTTGCACAAATAGATATTACATGAGAATATGAACTTGCTTAATTTCTTTTTGTATGTGTACAGATAGTTATCACGAAATGTTTAGATTATGGTCTGCATACACTAAACTTACCAGACAGTTTTCCAGTAATTAAGACAGTATCTTCAAACAGCCATATATTAGCTTGACTTTGTGGGAATAATGAAAGTGTCACAGACGAGTATACTGTGGAAAGTCATAGTATCTGTTACACTGTGCAACTCAAGAAAATCCTGTAAGATCTCAGATTCTGAAGGAATAGTGAATAGAGCAGTTAAAAAACGAAAGCATATGAAGGCTGGTTAAATAAATTACTCCTGTCATCCAGAGCAGGAATTTTATTGGTTAGCTAGGAAGACATTGTTTCTTAGCTACTGTCTTATGCCTTCTATGGACAAACAAGTGGCTAGAATTCTTAAGAGTCTTAATTTTCTTGTTTTTTTTAAAAAGTAACTTTTCTAAGGGCATGCACTAGTTAAACAGGAAAACCTGTGAGGAAACACTGCTGAAAGGAAGCTATTAAACAACAGGTTATACCTGATATAGAGGACTCAAAGCATTAGCATCCCAGAAATCACTAAAGACAACATGATTTTTGTCAAAACACATTACCAGCCCTTTGCTAAGACTAGATAAACAATTTTTCAGAATATACTTACAGTATTGCCATAGAGTTTAAAAGGGCTATTTTCTGTTTTACACTAATAAGAATTTTGACAAGTCTATCGTATCATTCACCAAATGTCATGATTGACATTGACAGGCACCACCTCCCTTGCCTGACTCTATTCAGTCATTTTTAGTTGACAGTAACTACCCAGACAGAGGATGAGAGAAATTTAATTACCAACAGATACAGTTTAATAATAGGACTGTAAGAGGCTTACATACTTGGCATTCTCCCAGTCTTCCAAGGCAAAGGTGTTAACATGTAGCCATCCTTGTATGATACGAGAGTTAAGCTTAACCCTAATTTGTAGGGAACTTTTATTAATACTGCTCCATTGTTTCCAGTAAGAGTAGAATTTGTCTTCGTGAAGTTGACAAACACTTCTACAACGGCTTGTCGCAGGTACTGGTGACTGATGATGTCATTTACTTGAACTTTTAACGTAAAAACAGATCCTATTAACAGAAAAAAAACCAGAATCATCATTGAATTTCTAAAAACAGAGAACCTAATGTCTACAGACTGTGGGATATGACATTTTCTTTTACTTGCGTAAAATTACTATAAAGGAACCAAACGCATCCAGACATCTTGTTTTAATCTGCCATCTCCCACCAGATTTATACTGCTGTTCCAGTTTTCACCTTTCTGTATTACAACTTCTAAACAGTACTTTTTTACTGTTAGAGGATCTGACATTCCTTTACAATACCTAATGTCTTGCAGAGATCATAATCACAGTGACTGAGCAGTATCCTCTTGCAATACCCCACCTGGAGTACTATGTCCAGTTCTGGGGTCCCTAACACAAAAAGGACATGGAGCTGTTGGAGAAGGTCCAGATGTGGGCCACAAAGATGATCAGGGGGCTGCAGCACCTCCCCTGTGAGGCATGACTAAGAGAATTGAGGTTGTTCAGCCTGGAGAAGAGAAGGCTATGGGGAGACCTTATTGTGGCCTTCCAGTTCCTGAAGGGGTCCTACAGGAAAGCTGGGGAGAGACCTTTTACAAGGGCAGGTAGCGACAGAACGAGGGGGAATGGCTTTAAACTGGAAGAGGTAGATTTAGACTGGATATTAGGAAGAAATTCTTTACTGTGAGGGTGGTGAGACACTGGCATAGGTTGCCCAGGGAAGCTGTGGATGCCCCCTCCCTGGAAATGTTCAAGGCCAGGTTGGACGGGGCTTTGGGCAACCTGGTCTGGTGGAGGTGTCCCTGCCCATGGCGAGGGTTGGACTGGATGAGCTTTAAGGTCTTTTCCAACCCGAACCATTCTATGATTCTTGATTCTATGATACTTGATACTTGATTCTATGATTCTAAAATATTAAGTCTCAAGATGCTCCGAGTGACATTCAATTTCTCTCCCTGCTTGTAAATAAACTATTAAGGAATCTTTTAATAGACAGTGGGTACATGAAAATGGATAGAATTGCATGTTATTTCCAGTGTGAAATTAAGTTAGTATTAGTTAGTTATTATAATTAAAATATCTATGGACCACTGTTTAAAAAATTTCAAATACCGTCAATTTTCTAGTATTATGGTTACAGGTATATTACTATTCAACATCACTGCACTACTGTATACCTAAATATTCAAATACATGAATTATGAATATACATTTCTATTTAGGTCAAATGTCAGGCTAAGTTTGTTTGAAATATAACTATATAAAATTGTAGTTCAATTTCATTACTTCATCTCCTCTGTAATTGAGATTGACATTGCACCAAGAGATTACTACCACTGACCTTGATTTGAATGAAAAGGCCTAGAGAAGATGAGTGCAATTCGTCAAAAAAAACTAGTATGTTGTGGAGACATCCAAGTGGGGCACTTCTGAAACAAGTAAATTTTCTTTAGATCTATTGTATGCATGAAGCATACCATACATTCAAGCAAAAAAATTACCTGCACACAACAAAAGCTACACTGGCCTCAGTTTATTACTATTTATCACACACACACAGCAAAAACTTACCAGCCATGCCAGTCTGATTCTCTACAGTGTTACAGAAAAATCTACGTATCTTTGTGCTTTCACACACTTCACACACTTTCAAAAAAAAAAAAAACCCAGAACAAAAAACCAACAGTGATACTCAAACATATCTGGCCAAATTAAACAGAAAACACACAATCTTAGAACAATATTCTTTTTTTTCCTTATGCATGATATTCCAAAAATAAAATTGCTTTTAAATTGCTGTCGCTAGAGGATTTTTAAATTACGTAATAAAATAATCTTATAACCTTATGTCATGTAAGTGAATTATGGCTGCTAAACAGATCTTCCAGACATGGATCCAGTTACATGTACACTAGCATGATTCCAGTGGTTTCCAAAACTCGTAAGACAGGCCATTTGTCGTTGGCCTATGACTATGTAAGAGGCTACTGATGAGGGAAAACAGACTGTGTACCATATTCTGATCCTGTAATTACTCTGAAGCCAGGAGTATCTCATTAAATGGTATTTAAAAATTAAGAAATCCAATAGTACAAAAATCAAGCTCATGCCAGTAGGAACCAATACCAGAAATGCCCGGCACAAACTAGTATTTTAAAAGCTGAAATCAAGTCAGGAGAAAAAGAGCCTTGTATTAACAGCTGAAATAAGTAAAAAAAATTAAAACCTATAATGTACTCAGAAAGACACTTTCTTTCAATCATTTCACACTTTCGATATGTATTTTTCCATTTCCTGCTAACAAAACACCTAATGAAAACGCAAGGGTTTGCAAATCACTACTTTCATCCTGTAGCTGTTAGTAAATTCAAAGGTTATTTTGTGCAAAAATATGTCTTCCTCATCTCCTTTAGTTACAGTCACATTAAAACCCACTTTTTTGGGAAGCTTTTTGTTAAAAAAACAAAACAAAACAACAAACAAAAACAAGCAAACAAAAATACAAAAAAGGAAAGACTGCTATGCAGAAAGTTATACTATTTTCACTCTCTCACAGTGAACTGACAAATATCATTGGCTGCTTTTAGCCACACTCAACTTTCATTACTTCTTCAGAAGTAATTCTGGAATTGCTTCAGAAGTAATTCTGGAAATGCTGTCGCAATTTCTGAACTTCAGAAGTAATTCAACACTACTTCTGAAGTTCAGAAATTGCGACAGCATTTTTCAAAACTGATATGCTACCTGACATGGTGTTGAGAAGATGCAGCAGCAGGGTTGTAAATCCTTGGCAGGTCACCAAGACAAAGGTCTCCCATGTGAAAACACACACATGAAACACTCCTTCTCTCAAGGAGTAATTACCTGCTCGTTACTGTCATATGGAAATAGCAGTTATTCAAGTGAAAAGTGCTCACTTCACACCTGCCAATATTAAATCTAAGATTAAAGGAGACTCGATTCCTAGCTCTCATTGCTTTTGGCCTTATCTTTTGTGTTAACACAAGAGTCTTCCTGACAAGAGAAAGTATGCCAATCAGCTGGGAGTTGTTTCCTCTCTGTAAGTAACACAGATGAGCAAATTAATTAGATTTTCTATTATCAACCAGAATATACTCTGCCAACAAGTCACTTGAAGTTTGTGTGCAACTATTTTGGAAAGATATTTAAAAAAACCTTTCAATTTCTTCATGGTAACAGTGCAGAAGACACAAACATACAATATTACACCGCTGAATATATGTGAGTATTTGTGAAAAATATGTAAAAAATCCCAGTTAAAAAAGCCAGAATCCAGCAGCAACAACTATTTCCCTCACCCCAAGCAAGGTTTCACTATTGTTTTGTATAAAACAGAATGAATCAGAGCACCCTACAGCAGGCCAACTGTAACAGCCTAGGTAAAAACAAAACAATCGTAACATCCTAAGAGCTCGGTCTGTGTGTGCAGTGGTGGTCAAACAGGCACGACTGATCTGCATCTTTCCAAACTTTATATCCTTTAACCAACTCCCTCACGTGCCTCGTGTGCATTTAATGTGCAGACATATTTAATAGCACTGAGTTATTAATCATATTATATTAACACTCATGACATCTAATTTGCAAAAAAGACACTGCTTTTTTTTTTCCCCTCTCTCTAAAGATTTTAATGCACAAGTCCTTAAGGACATTTCAATTCTCAAATATGATGGAGACTGCAGTAGGATTTTTTTTTTAAATCACGATAAAACATAAAACATTTCAGACACAAAAATGAACCATTGATTAACTGTATAACAAAACTAAAGTTGATATATTAAACAACAGATAAAACTTGCTCTTTTTTCTGGTCACTAACACTTGCCAAACACAATTGGGTCAGCTGTAGCTCAATATTAAACAGACTTGACAGAACTCCTACAATTAGAAGAAAGAACTTGGTCTCAGATAATTTGATTTGTGCTGTCTCAGGGGATGGGAGATTTGTCTCTTGGCAAGTTCACTGGATATGCCAGCTTCTACAACATTTAAACATTTGCTGATAGATGTTCATACAAATGCAGTAGTTACTTAAATAATGGGAAACAAGGGCTTCTACCACTTTTAACTACTTCAGAAATGTCACAGCCAGTAAAACGACACATCATTTCTCCAAGCAACAACATCTAATGCCTGGAATTTGGCTTCACATCACTGCCTTAACTCAGAAATCATATCACAGAATTAAGCCAAAGACCTGCTTGGAATCGCAAGCTAGGTACAAAACATAACAATGGGGAAAAAAAAAAATCTCTCTTTATAATACCCCTGTGTAATTTGATTCTTTACCTAAAGATAAGTGTGTCATTTGGTCACCCGATTTATCTGAGATTCAACTAACATGGTCAAGGCCAGAGACCTTGCAGACACCAATATCTTCCAAACTGCACATACCATAAACTGCAAAATACAGCAGTGAATGCACACATCCAGGGCACTGCCTGGGAAATACTCCTGCACATTCTACAACCCAGTCCAATGTCCCCTTTCCTACACATGCAGTATTGCAACAGATCATCATGGGGGAAGTGGAGCGGGTTGAGGGGGATATTTAAAAATCTATTAAATATACGATCTACACAGTCAACACACATCTAGCTTTAGTAAAAATGTCATATAAAAGCAATCCTCTTGCCCACAGAAACCAATCATGACTTCTTAAAATTTCCTTAAAACTACATCAATGACAGTGACAAACTACAAAAGCTTATCCACAAAAAGTAAAAGCCTATTATACCTTTAAAGATCATTAAAAATCCATGTACACGAAGGTGAGTTGTGACAGCAACTAACCAACATGGGAATGATTTAATGCTGAAGTAAGCCCTCCTCACCACAGTGAACAATCAGTTCATGGTTACCTTTTGTTCTTTAAGGTACAACACACTGACACAGTACTGATTTATCCGCCCTTCACAGTGCATTACATTGACATAATAGGTGACCCCTAAACTCTAGTAGCTATTTTATGGCTATACTCTGACAGTTATTGTCAGACAGCAGGATAAGCTCTCCAACCAATTTTCAATCATGCTTCTTGTAGCTATCAAATAACCTGCAAATCTCATTAATTAACCACTACATCCTAACATAGTCTTCATTTGCTAGCCATCAGTATTCTTTTATGCTGCCTTACTCCACGCAGTCATTTATAGACTCTACACACAGATGGGCTTGTAAATGTCTGAGGACATTTCTAACACTACACAAATAAATCTATATATTTCAAATTGGTCACCAAACATCTAATTTAAAAACTGATTATGTGATTCTTTATATATGTTTATATGGTATTTATACGCTGCTCCTCTGAAATAAAATAATAGCATAAAATAAATGCAGAAAATCATTTTTCCTCCCTAAAATGACACAGGAATACTACTAAACTACAAAACACACTGTTTTGCCCTCTGCGATTTTAACTTTATAAATTATTTACACTTGTAAATAACATACACATTTTATTTTAAACGCATTATAACTGAACTGGGAAGCAAGGAACTTCACACAGTTCACAGAAGGTCTAAATAAATTCAGCAAATACCTAACCAGCTGTATAAATCAATTTCTCAGGAAAACAGAATGTTAGATTTAAATAAGAACACCACACACATAGGATAATATAATCATCCTACCTGGCTGAAAAAAGACTTGGAAGTTGACAAGTGGCTGACATGGTTTCATTCTTGCAGTTAGCACAAAGTTAAAAGTCAGACCACCCCTCTCCAGAATCACTCTGGGAGTCAAAAACTTGTACGTTTTCTGCATAATCTATAAACACCTTCCTGGAATGATCATGCTTGCAAGAACTACACAAGAATGTCACCAGGCTAATCCTTAAAGCTGCTACCAACTCACACACCTATCCAGTGGGAACATACCCTCGCAAGGCTTTCAAGTGCACCTCATAAGATAAAGAAAATAGAAAGATAATGAGTATTCCCTTTAAATATTTTTATGGGCTACCTAAGCAAGAGCTATGAAATTTAGACATGAAAGCAGCTATGAAATTTAGATGGGATTTTTTTCCTGTATTCCATTAACACTGAGTAGTACACATGTGTCATTAAAAAAATCCACTGGAATATTTTAAAGCGCATATCAAGTACTGCTGTAAGGTACTTATTTCATAAGTAGTTGCATGATGTTTTTTCACCATTAGATGCTATCTTCATTCATTTTACATATTGAAATCAGAATGCTTCACCACTCAAGACAGTACACGAGAACTCACAGGATATAATTCTGTAATGAAAATTCTGGTTTACTGTATCTTACATATCTTACATGTCTTACTCTACTGGTATATTAGCATAAATAATAAGAACTGCAACAAAATTCAAAATTGACAGCTGCTAGTGAAGCTATGACAATTACCACAGTAACCTTGCATTTTTATTTGCTGCTATTTTGTTGCATCAGCCAGCCTGGTTCTCAGAACTCTGGTTACTATGGAAGACAGAAGCTGAGAAATTCACCTTACTAAGGCAAGGGAAATATGCAGCAGACAAGACGAAATACTGCAGTCTGCAGAGCTTCACTCATTTAGGACTCATT